ATGCTGTGGGCCGAATAAATCACCCCCTGGCTTTGTTCATATGCAGTTCGTTAGCTATACAGTGTAAGACCATAAAGAAAATAAAGAAAATGATATTTCTAAGTCCGAAAGGTCGCCAACGAGCTCTATGCTGTTCTTGATTCAGCGTTTGGTAATAAATGTTTAAAATCAGGAGTTGGGCTCACAATGTCTCAACGAAACATTATTTATTTATTTGTTTGTTATTCATAGTAAAATCTCACCCTGAGTCGTTCCTTGGCGTTAACCAATTCCCTCTTTTTCACCGTTTCATTGAAGTCTTCGGCTACGAAATACAAACCGTCTTTGGCTCGTTTGAACTTCTCTATGTTACTGAACATGGGCAGAGCAGACTCGCCCGTCACACGCTTCAACACGTCGCTCATTAATTCCTCCACCGGAACCTCCATTGTAACCATTATAATAACAATGACAAAATATTTCTACCGTCACTTAAAAAAAATCGTATTAAACAACGGGTTTTCTTCCTTTTTCCTTTCTCATTGATGTGTACGTGTATGAAACAGGTACGCACACCTGCGGTGCTTCTGTCCTGATGCGTCCGCATGCGTACATCGGCCAATTTGCTACTGCAAACAAGCCATAGTTTTCTGCTACAATTAAACAAGGATAGTTTCTTGTATTTTTAATACTTTATATGACTAGTATTCAATGCATAGGTTTGACAGTCAAATAATTTCAACTTGCCACGTGCACGACATCGTGTCTGAATGCAGTTTGAATAGCTAATACTGTCGTTTTCATGTAGTCATAAAACTTGCTCATGTAGCCTCCGAACTTATGTGTATGCAATTCGAATGTCTAATAGCACTGTGATTTTCCAGCTGTTTTAAAACAGTGCCTTAATAAATTAGCATAGGATTTACAGTATTCCATAACCTTGTTTGCAAGTCTGTGATATTGGCCTACAGTCTTGGATGAAAGTGTATGGGCCTGTCAGGAAACAGGAAACTATCTCTGTTAGATAGGACTGTAAAAAATGCTGTTAGTTCATACCCCAGTTTCCTAAAACACAAAAATTCAAATAAAGATCAAATAAAGGTCTGATCAAATAAAGAATCAAATACGAGATCTCAAGTTTTAAAAGTTTTACTTGCAAGGAAGGAGTGCAGAACAATGGTTACATTCAGAACTGCACTGAGGAACTCCTCAGCACTCAAAGCTTAAATACAGTTTTTTTTACATACACATCAATGGTCAGCACCTTAACCCTTTACAGCCATGTGGTGTTCACTCGCAACTTCTGAGCGCTGATTGGCAAAGGCTGCTTCAAACAAAGATTCTCCACCAATAGAAAACATGTACATGTGCTGAGCTATTCTGCTCAGTAACTCAGGTTAGATCAAAGAAATACACTTTGCGTAACAGTCAGTGCCATCAGTACCATACACCATCCTGTTATATAAACCATCAGCATGCACACCTTTCTTCAGTACCTCTCCTTTTAGTACAGCATTTAAAAACAAACACTATAAATTGATATGGAAACTTAATACAATGAATATATTGTAAAGATTGAATAAATGTTTTTACAATATCTTAACAGGGCCCCTGACATTTTTCCATGAAAATAAGCATTTCTTCCATTGAGTTATTGATCGCTACACATGTTTTGGTAGGTATCTATTCAATTTATTTCCTTTGTGTGCTACACAAAAAAACAGAGAAAATGGCAAATTTGACATAATTTCTAACTATTTTATGAATTTTCTGTGAAATTTTATCAACATTGCCTTTTTCTCTGAGAGAAATACTTAATTTAATAGAAAAAAGTCAGGTGATCACTTCAGATTGATCTTTTATTCTAAAGAATCTTACATTGGATGAATTAGGGATGAGAGTTATATAGCAATGCACATAAAAATTTTAAACTTCTGTCTATGAAGATTCTCAGTCATCCAGGTCATGGTCAAGGTTGAAGAGCTCTGTTAGGCAACACAGGAGGGTCAACTCCTCAGGACAGGACTCATCTGTTTACATACACCTCAAGGACAAAACACACTCCTTCGAGGACAACAATGTTCACATTTTGGCCAGGGAAGACAGATGGGTTGAGAGAGGGATAAAAGAAGCCATTGCTCTAAAAACACAACGTATGTGTTACTTTTGAATGGAAATTGCTTGACATGGTCTATGGATGTACTTTTGCACTAACAAATATATTGATCATTTTATCAGGAAGCCATATTTTATCTCAATGCCGTTCTGGCAAGTTCCCTCTTCTTTAATGGGCAGTTTAAAAGTCCCCATAAGGTGATGTAACTATTAAGAAAGTAAATCATTTCTTTTGATGTAGGGTCCTAACTCATCTTTATTAACGTACATATTTCTATATTATCTGTTACAGATGAAGTTTCCAGCAGAGAATGTTTGGCTGTGTCCTGTGAATGTTACTGCACATTGGATTCTTATTGTCTGTTTCCAAAATATTTGATTTCTGATGACTCAATACTTTGACAGATTTTCTCTTTTGTTATGTGGACATATTTAAAAATGAAGTCTTGGCTGGAACAAATTGAGCAGGCTGTGCAAGACTCTGTAGACTAACCATTAAGCATAGTAAAGGAAGTCCTTATACAGCCTGTTTATTGATATGAAATATTAAAGTACTTAGTACTTGACGTTGTGAACATGGCAGAGAAGTTCCTCACTGTAATTGACCCAATGGGAAATGAGGATGCCTACAACAGGAAGATTATGAGGAACTGGCAGTAATATGTAGTACAATTTGCATAGACACATTTTTTCAAGAGAGAATTTTAAAAAAGGGTTTAAAACAATAATTTTAATGCTGTAAACTTCCTGAGGAACAGGTCGAGGGAGGAATCCAAATATGTGTGGACAGTGCACACCATGGGCCACAACAAACAGATGGATGTCAGCAGTTGCGGGGTTCTAGTGTTGAAGGTACTATTTCGCTACAAGTTTATGTTTATGTACTTTGAAGATTAAGCTAATAGTATTTAATTGTAAAGATTATGTATCTAGAAGAATATGTGGTATTACATAGATAATGTACCAAATCAAGCACATAATTACATTCATAATTCATAATTCATTTACAGTACGCTGAAGAGTGGAAACATATCTGATGTGCAGACAACTCCAGAAGCCATCAGCAGTGATGGGAATAACGGCGTTAGAATAAACGCTGTTACTAACGGCATTACTTTTTTCAGTAACAGGTAATCTAACTAATTGCTTTATCTATCGTGTCTATGAAGATTCTCAGTCATCCAGGTCATGGTCAAGTTTAAAAAAGTTCTGTTAGGCAACTGGGCGTGCATTTTCTAAAAGAAGATGTTTCACCTCTCATCCAAGAGGCTTCTTCAGTTCTAACTGGTGGTGGGGAGTACAGCATATATATACTCTAGGTGTGAAAGAATAAAGTTACTTCAGCTCCACCCTGTTGGGTGGGGCCTTGGGGTCAACTGTGAAAGTGTAAACAGTTGTTAAGAGTCTGAAGGGTCGTTGTGGTCCTCATCAGAATGGTTTTGGTCACCTGCCTCTTTGTTGTGTGAAACTGAGGTGAAACTTTTGGGTATTGTTCCTAAAAGTGCTTTGTATGTGGGTGATAGGTTGTGTCTGAGTCCACCTCCTCTGTTGAGTGATGGTTTTTCCAGGTTGACAAAAATGGCTTCTTTTACCCCTCTCTCAAACCATCCATCTTCCCTGGCCAAAATGTGCACATTGTTGCGCTCAAAGGAGTGTGTTTTGTCCTTGAGGTGTATGTGAACAGCTGAGTCCTGTCCTGAGGAGTTGGCCCTCCTGTGTTGGGCCATGCGCCTGTGTAGTGGTTGTTTAGTCTCTGTTGGAAGAATTTAATTTATTATCATTGCTTCATGCTGTACTGTCGCTTTAAGGAACTGTTTGCTTCTCATATTATAATCTAGTGTGCTCAAGACTGATGG